ATGTTGATGCTGATGCTGATGCTGATGCTGATGCTGATGATGATGATGCTGATGCTGATGATGATGATGCTGATGATGATGATGATGATGATGGTGGTGATGCTGATACTGCTGCTGCTGCTGCTGCTGATGCTGATGATGATGATGATGATGATGATCATGATCATGATCATGATGATGATGATGATGATGATGATGATGATGATGATGATGATGATGATGCTGATGCTGATGATGATGATGATGATGATGATGATGATGCTGCTGATGATGATGATGATGATGATGATGATGATGATGATGATGATGATGATGATGCGTCTGTGGCCGTGCGCGAGTAATGCTGCTGGTGCTGCTCGTTCTGCTGTTGGTGTTGTTGCTGATGCTGCTGCTGCTTGTGCTGCTCTTGTTGGGGTGGGGGGTCTGTCGAAGGGGGGGGTGTCGGAGGGGAGAGAGGTCAGTCGGAAAGAAGGGAGGACAGGGGGGGGGGGTCGGAGAGAGGGCGGGGTCTGTACAGGACAGGAGAGGCTCTGTCGGAAAGAAGGTAGGAGATTTCTCGGAGAGGTGAGGTCTGTCTTGGAGGAAGGGGGTCTGTCGGAGTGGACGGGGGTGCCTGTGACAGGGTGGGCGCTCTTCGGGCGGCCTTGGGGCTCTCTTGGGCTTCTCTCTTGGGCGTTCTTGGGTCCCTCTGGGGGTCTTTTGGAGGCATCCTGAGGCCTCGGACGGTTATCGGAAGAGATAAGGCGAGGGGCAGAAGGCATTAGTGTCCCGTAGGTATTCAAAGGATGTTGTTTTCTTGGAAGGTTCGTTGGGGAGCTATTTGGTGTCTGGAGCCGTCTTGGGGCGGTCTCGGGGCCTCTTGAAGCATCTTCGGATTCTGTTTGATGCATCTAAGGCTATCTTGGAACATCTCGGAGGTGGGTGCGGGATGGCCGTGGGAGGGGGTGGTCTGCCTTGGAGGCCAGGGGGTCTGTCGAAGAGGGGGGGAAGAGATCGGTCGGGGAGGGGGGGGATCTGATCTGAAACAGGAGAGGTCTGTCTGCGAGTCGTCGCGGGCCGCCTGGGACGCGTCTGTGGAAGTGCGTTGGTAATGCTGCTGATACTGCTCGTGCTGCAGTTGGTGCTGTTGCTGATGCTGCTGCTGTTTGTGCTGCTCTTGTTTGGGGGGAGGGGTCAGTCGGAGGGTGGGGGGGGGTCTGTCCTGGACGGGTGGGGGGGCTGTCGGGGAGGAGGGAAGAGGTCTGTCGGAGGGGGGTGGGGGTCTGTCCTAAAACATGGGGGTATGTCTGCGAGTCGTCGCGGGCCGTTTGGGATGCGTCTGTGGCTGTGCGCGAATAATGTTGCTGATGCTGCTCGTTCTGCTGTTGATGCTGTTGCTGCTGCTGCTGCTGCTGCTGCTGCTGCTGCTGCTGCTGCTGCTGCTTGAGCTGCTCTTGTTGGGGGAGGGGGGTCTGTCGAAGGGGGGGCTTGTGGGAGAGAGGGCGGGGTCTGCCCAGGACAGGTGAGAGGCTCTGTCGTAGAGAAGGAGATTTCTCGGAGAGGTGAGGTCTGTCCTGGAGGGGGGAGGGTCAGTCGGAGTGCGGGGGGGGTGTCTGTGAGAGCGGGGGGGGGTTGTAGCAGAGAAAGCGGGAGAGCGGAAAAAAGATACGCTGGAAGGGGAGAGGGGGGGGGTCTGTTGTTGGGGGAGGGTGGGGGGGTCGAAGGGGCGGGTGTGGGAGAGAGGGCGGCGTCTGTCCAGGACAGGAGAGAGGCTCTGTCGGAAAGAAGGAAGGAGATTTCTCGGAGAGGTGCGTTCTGTCCTGGGGAGGGGGGGGTGTCTGTGAGAGCGGAGGGGTCTGTGAGCGCGGGGGGGGTCTGTAGGAGAGAAAGCGGGAGAGCGGAAAGGGATATGTCGGAAGGGGGGGTCTGTCCTGGATGGGGGGGTTGTAGGAGAGAAAGCGGAAGAGCGGAAAGGGATATGTCGGAAGGGGGGGTGTCCTGGAGGGGGGTGTAAAAGCGCGAGACGTCGGTGTTAGGGGGGGGCGGGGAAGATGGGGGTGAATCTATCGGAGAAAAGAAGGAGAGCAAGTGTGTCGGAGAAGAGAGGGAGGGGTCGGAGAGGACGGGGGACTGGTTTGTGGAAGCGGGAGAGGTCTGTGTGGGGAGGGGGGGCCGGGGGAGGGAGTGTTTGTCCTAGAGGGGGGGGTATGTCGGGGAGGGGGGGGAAGAGATTTGTAGGAGAGGGAGGAGACTTGTCAAGAAGCAGAGGGGGAGTCTGCTGCTGCTGCTGCTGCTGCTGCTGCTGCTGCTGCTGCTGATTGTGCTGCTGTTCTAGGGGGGGGTTGTCGGAGAAAGGGGGGGGGGCGAGAAGGGAGGGGTCTGTCGGAGAAGGAAATCTCTGTCGGAGAGGGGGTGAGGATCTGTTCGGAGAGGGGGGAAGGGGGTCTGTCGGAGAGTGGTGGGGTCTGTCCTGGAAGGGGGGGGGGTATTTTGGGGAGGGGGCTGCCGGGGGTTGGGTCAGAGAAGAAGATGCCTCTTGGAGAGAGGGAAGTGGGTATGTGTGGGAGGCGGGGGGGCTTGTGCGTTCAGTGAGTTCCGTTGGAATTCTCCCAACCCCCCTCTCCAGAGCTTGTGCTGCGTTCAGTGAATTCCGTTTGAATTCGTCCCCCCCCCTTCCATACGAATGCAGCCCCACCCCCCTTCCCCCCTCTCCATAGCATTTGCGTTCATGGACTCCGTTGGAATTCGCCCCCCCCCCCCCCCTCCCCTGGGGGCTTGTCCTCTCCAGCGCGAAGCGTCCCGCCCCCCCCCCCCTCCCCAGAGCTTGTTCACTGAATTGCGTTGGAATTCGTCCCCCCACCTCTCCAGAGCGAAGCTTGAGCGAGCTCAAGCCCACGCTCTCACAAACTCACACGCCGGATCGGCGGATTCCCCCCTCCCGCTCTTCCTGTTACTCCTCCTGCTCCTCGTCATCTCGTTCTCTTCCACCTCCTCCTCCTCATCCTCCTCCTCCTCCTCCTCCTCCTCCTCCTCCTCCGCTTCCTCCTTCTCCGTCTCATCCTCATCCTCGTCCCCATCCTCCTCATCCTCCTCATCCTCCTCATCCTCCTCATCCTCAACATCATCAGCATCAGCATCAGCATCAGCAGTATCATCATTACCAGCATCATCAGCATCGTCATCGACATACTCATCAGCAGCATCAGCAGCATCATCATCATCATCATCATCATCAGCAGCAGCATCAGCAGCATCAGTATCAGCATCAGCATCAGCATCGACATCATCATCCGCATCCGCACAACCAACAGCAGCATCATCATTATCATCATCAGTACCATCATCATCACCATCGTCATCGTCATCGTCGTCATCATCAGCATCATTAACATCGCCGTCATTGTGATCCACACCAGCATCAGCAGCAGCAGCAGCAGCAGCAGTAGCATCATCATCATCATCATCATCATCATCATCATCCTCATCATCATCATCTGCATCATCATCAGCAGCATCATCAGTATCATCAGTATCGTCGACATCGTGATCATCAGCATCATCGTTAACAACGATAACAACAGCAGCATCATCATCATCCTCCGCATCTTCAGCAGCAACATCACCAGCATTATCATCATCATCAGCATCATCATCAACAGCATCATCATCATCATAATCATCATCATCATCATCATCATCACCATCATCATCATCATCATCATCATCATCATCATCATCATCATCATCATCCAGATAACGGGCTCTGCCGAAGCTTCTCGCCGCTTGACGCCTGATTGGTGTTGCGCACTCGGCCCCGCGGCATCAACGCCGGCGCGTTGGAGCAATCGTCGCGCCCCACCGAGCGGTACCCGTGCCGCCTGCGATGGAACGCGCGCGTGTGCTCGGAGTGCTCGCGCGCAGAGTGGGATGGGATGGGAGTGCTCGCGCGTGTGCTCGGAGTGCGCGCGTGTGGCCGCCCGCAGAGCGGGATGGGAGAGAGGCGGCTGGCAGGAGGGAGGACGGAGGAAGGAGGGAGGGAGGGAGGAGTGAGGAGAAGGAGGAGGAGGAGGAGGAGGAGGAGAAGGAGGAGGAGGAGGCAGAGCGCACCCCGAGGTGTCCACGAAAGACCAAAGCCACTCCACGAACCGAGAGCGGAAAGAGAGACCGCACAGATGTTTTCAACAGTGCCGACAGTGGGCTCCCCTGGACTCCTCTCCCCAGGGCGTAGCCTCGCTGAGAAAGCGCCTTGAGCCCTACGTCATCACGGATCTCGGGCTTCTTTCACCCAAGGGTGTTAGGGTGTTGATTCCTCCACCTGCCCAAGCCAACCAACCAAACGCAAAGCACTGCTATCAATATACTGCGAACCTGATGCAAGGACCACGCTCAAGGTGTTTTGGCCCTTTTGTGCCGACTGAGGGCCTCCAAAACGCATCGGGGGCAGCCGAGCGAAGGCCAGCAGGCCTGGCCCGAATGTACTGCCTGCGGGGCCGCCACGCTGTGGGGGGCGCAGGGAGTCTCGGCGGAAGAAGGGGGAGGAGGAGGAGGAGGAGGAGGAGGAGGAGG